AGCCTCATATCTAATGGGTGCCTCGTGGGTGCTCAGGTGGAATCTGTGATTTTCTCCATGGGCAACTTTATGAGCTGCTGTGATACCCACCCCAGAGACAGGTGAGGAATTCCCTGGCCAGCCTGAGTGGCCTCTGTACGTCAGTTAAATTTTCTCTGCCTTCCTCGAGGAAACAAAAAAAGGGGAAGGGCTGTGGTAGGAGGAGGAAGGAAGAGAATTTTTCCTGTCAAGATCATACTTTGCAGTCACATTCTTCCCGGCCTCCCGTTCTCCTGTAGTCCTCCTGCCCATGGAATTCTCACATGCACACAGTTGTCTGGCTGTTTCAAGTGTTGGACGAGAGTGGGAGAGAATTCTGGATTGTCAGGATCATATAGGCCGAGGCAGATAAAGCCCCCTTGCCTGGTGCTGGGTTAAAGGTTTAGTTCCTTCCATGGGGCCACTGCTTACTCTCTGAGCTTCAAGGTGTGCCCCACATGGTTAGGGGTCCTGTCAGCAACCTGTTCACATTGTTTCCAGCCTCTCTTCCAAGGCAGGAACTCTCTTCAGGTCTTTTGTGGCCTGTGGGAGAACAGAGTCCTTTCTTACTTGGGACCCAAATCTGGCTCTTTGGGTTTCTGGCTGAAACACTTGTGTGACTGCCAGTTTGTTTCTTGAGAAATTAAGAGCCCTATGTTGGGTTCTCTTTCCATGAATTCCATTTTCTCTAAGTGTCTACTCTCTTTTGTACTTCTAGGGGCTTAGATTAGTCATTCTCCAAATTTTGAGATTTTAGAACAGTTCATCAGGATTTTTCCTTTCCCTCATCTACTTTGACAAAGAAAAAAAGGAGAAGAAATTTTAGACTTCCTCAGTGCTCTTTCTTGTTCCTCAGAGCCTACTTCAAACTCCCTCCGCCACAAGCCATTTATAGAGTTCTGTAATAGACAATAATGTGCTAAAAGGAATAAGACTCCTTATTGTCTTCACAGTTCTTAATCCCTGCCTCTCCTCCGCCGCCAAGAACATTTAAACTCAGAAAGCTAAAACCTTTCTCTGGGATCACCCTTCATTCCATATTTATTTTCTGGTGAGAGTGATATTTTTCTCTGGCTGATAGTTTTTAATCTAGAATTAGAAAATACTAACACTAGAAGTAACCTTAGAGACCATCTAAATTTTTATCCATTCTTAGTCTATTGTTGGGAAACCCAAAGGCCTGTTGAGTTAAGCAGTTTGCCCTAAATCATTTCATTATTTAGTACTAATGACTAGAATCTTTGTCTGCAAAGGCTTCATTCTCTACTCTATGCTTTACAATTCTCTCCTTCAATTCTCTACTGAAAGTCACGCAGCAGAACAAAGACAGCGTGTACCCACAGGGTGTTGCATTATTCACCCATCAATCATTCGTCAAATATTTATTGAACACCTATATAAGCATGGCCATTTGCTGGTGCATAACTAACATGCATAAACAGCCTGCTTTAAATGCAAACCAAATATAACTAATTTCTGTTAACCACCTACAAATTTTAAGTTCTTTTCTAAGAACTGAAGCAATAAAACAAAAACTTTTGAAGTTCTATAATGTACAGAGCGTCATTTTAGGAAGGACAGGGAGAATGCCATCTGTTTATTGTGCTGAGTCTTGGATTTCTTGAATTTTATGTAAATGGTTTGGTACAAAAAGATACAAGTTAACTTTTAGAGTTTGTGAAAAAAAAAGTATTGGGAATTAAGGTCATTCACAGAACAGCTCTATGGCGGACAAGTGTTTGGGAAAATCTACATTTAGAAGGAAATTGTTATCATGTTAATTATCCCTGAAAACTGTGATCAGGTTGTTTACGTGTTTTATAGGTAGCTTGGTAGCAGAGCTCAAAAGGAGTGGATTGGATAGCTGAGAGCTGTCTGAAATTGCACTTGACTTCACTGGAGGGAATGCAGAAAGATGGAGGTCGTTTCTCAGCAGTCTCTTTATTAACTGCTCCCCTTCAGATTCAGCTGTCTGTGGTCATTTTAAATAGCAAGCTTCTGAGACAATAACCAGGTTTGACAGTAATTGCAAAGGTGGAAGCGACTGTGCCCAGACCACAGCCCAGGGTCAGAAGGCTCTTCATCCATTTGAAGGTAAGAATCATGATGTGATGTTGAGCGAGCTCTGATCCAAAGTCAGAAGTCTGGGTGCTCTTCCTCGGTCCAGCTCTTCATCACTGTGTGACCTCGGGCAGGCAGCCCAACCCGATGGACACTCTCCTCACCTCTCAAATACTGATAAAATCTCCTGCCCTTTCATGGCAGTGTTGTTGTGAGGATCAAATGAGACCACTGATACAAAAGTGCTTTCAAAACTCAAAGTCCTTTGGAAATATAAGGCAATTTCATTCCAAAAACTCCAGAATTTTGACCAGTAACAGAAGTATTTACCTCACAAAAATTAATATACCTTTCTTTTGTGTGTGTTGGGAGTCTGTGTGCATATTTTACTCTGTGAATTTTTGTTACTCTTCTTTTGAAACTGGCATGAGATAGACTCAGTGCTAATAGGAAATAGCAGGTCTCTCCTACTCCTTTGAAGAACAAAGAGCAGGAGGGAATGTTATTACAGAGGCTCAGTCTGATGGACTGATGAGGCAGCAGCCACTGGATGGCCACCAGTCATCTCCCACTCCCATAAAGTCACGGGGGTGCATCACAGAGCACTGCTGTAAGGTTCCAAGTGGTGTTTACAGTGTATCTAGGTGGTGACAAAAATTTGTTTTGCCAGTGCTGTGGAGCCTTTTGTGTTATGGGAGAAAGGACTAAAAATCCCTTTGTAATGCTGGATTGCATAGAACATGCCTTCACATCCCACTGGTTCATTTCGTAAGAATAACTGAGTGGGCACTGCCCTGGGCACTAGATACAGGCCAGTGTTGTTGGGAAGACAGATGCCATGGAAAAGTTATATCACATGGTGATACAGTTCCAGGCTGACGTCAGGCTAGAATACTTCCCCCAAGCCTGCGTCCCTTACCCTGGCCACCTCAGAAGGTATGTGTCCCAGAGAATACAGCTACAAGATGGTAGAGATCTATTAGCTTAACCTCTGTAGTACACATTTTCACTCCCATTCCACCCTACCTCTGGTCACTGTGAAGATAACAGAAGTGAGAAAGAAATTTGAGTTTACCTAAGATAGTCTCACAGAAAATAAACTTATGGTTACCAAAGGGGAAATGGGGTGGGGGGTAGGGACAAATTGGGAGTTTGGGATTAACATATAAGATAGATAGCCAACAAGGGTCTACTGTATAGTACTGGGAACTGCATCCAATGTCTTGTAATAATCTATAATAAAGAAGAATCTGAAGAATAGTAGATTCATATATATATATGTATAGCTAAATGATTTTGCTTTATACCTGAAACAGTGTAAATAAACTATATTTCAATCAAAAAAAGAAAAACAAATAAAAAATTTTGAATTTGAGGTAGTAGTAGTAATAAGTTAGTTACCTCAATACATTCATATAGCAAATATTTAATTAATAAACAAGATTTTTGTCCTCAACCACCTTATTCTACCTAGGGACACAATGGTCAGACAACATAGAAATTCCTAACCTGGGGCAGAAGAAGTTTTACTGTAAAGGGCCTGCCATAATACACCAAACATAGAATGAACAAATGATATACCTGGACATACATATGCTACTATTTTCTAAGTGCATGTATGAGCTGTTTTGACTAACAAAATACATATCCTCTTACAAGTTACTAAATTCATTGTGTCTCTCTCTACCATTTTGCATTTTACTTTTGCCTGTGTGATTATTTTATTATGTCTCTCCCCAACAGACTGTAGGCTCCATGAATCTGTTTTCACACTCCATTAAGTCCCTGGTTACTCAAAGAACGTTTGTTAAATGTTGATTAAGTGTATTTTCTCAACCAACAGGTTGAGAAATTACAAATATCCTTTGCTGCCCCTTGAAATTTTATAATGTTAAAAAGGTTCCCTCCTTTGGGTTGAGGTTGTGACTCTGAGCGTGGGTCAATAAATGAAAGATAAATAAGGTACAGAAAAAAGGCCTAGACGAGAAGGGGCAAAGTACAAAGAATTAAAGCGGATGGTTAGGGATGACTAGCTGTGGAATGTCACCTCCGCCTTCAAGTCTCATTGTCTTGTGTTGCTTTATAATCTCTTGATTTCCAAAACTTTCTGACAAATCTTGCCTCATAAGAGCTTTACAATAACATGTGAGTAACCTGGTGAGAAAGGGAATAGAATGGCTGTTGCCTGGTTCTTTTCTCTTAAGACTTTACACAGTTGCTGATGCTCTGAAGGACAGAGCTGGAAGGACTGAGGAGATTGTTCTTGTCCTATAAGTGTCATTTTACACTAAGGAAACAGAATTCCCCTAAGGTTTCTATACAAGGTCATACAGCTAGGCAGTGGCAGAAGCAGGACTAGAATCTAGTCGGATTCAGACTCTTTCCAGCCCACTTTGCTGACTCTCTGTTAGGGTTGGGTTCACAATCACTCAAATATTTGATTTGGGAGGAGAACGTGGTACAACTTATGAATAAAGTATGGATTCACATTTATGGTTTATGTCATCAACCTTCTGTTTTCATTCAACTTTCAAAACATATGCTCCTTCAAACTATCAACAGCTCAAGAATTAGCCAAAAATATAACTTTGACTGTAAACTTGATGTTAATATTTATCTAATTCTACTAAAAATTATAACCTTTAAGTCAGCATGTATTTATTCTGTTAAGTCTTTACAAATATGCTACTCACCTTAATAAGAGTGAGCAAATATGTTCTTTCTTCATCATTTGGGCATTCTTTCTACACAATAGTTCCCTTCTGTAGTCAATATCGTTGCTATTTCTGTATTAAGAAAGATAAAGACATAAAACAGTGTTGCAATAAATAGCTGGCAAGCTACAGAGACACTATTTTAAAGGAAAATTGTCTCAAGACACTTTAATGCTTTCTATTGCTATGGTTGCAGAATTACTTGAGGGCGCATTGCTAAAGGGACCTCTAGTACATCTATTAATGAGATTTATAAGAACATTAATAGGTAAATCCAAACCCAACTCCATCAATAGTAATGCAAAGGAATGCAGATCTAACTATTCAACTTGGGGTTATAAATATTCATGCAAAGTATCTATTATAATGAATACAGATTCTGTGTGTCCTAAATATGTGTGCAAAAGAACATGACACATATGTTGACATCATAACAAAAAGCAAACTATCATTTATAGTGAATATTCTGATCTCAGTTAAACTAATATAACCACTAGTGACACATCTGCTCTTATCGGTAAAGAAAAAATGTGTGCTATCAACTAGAGACTTAAGGATAGAGAGTTAAAATATTTCCCAACAACTTTCAATGCCGTTGTCACACTTAGTCTTTGTCATCAACCTGAATAGTACTTTTAAGACCATCTGCTGGGTTCCAAGAAGTACCATCATTTGGTGAAGAGTGAAGGAGATTAAAAAAATGACACTGGAGAACAGCTCAAGCATGGAGAAACTGGAAAATGTATCATGGCAGTATGATTAACATTAAGTAGCTATATGAGGAGAGATAGAGAATTCTAGATAGGTGGAAGTGAGTGAGTCCATCCTATAAAAGTATGTGATCACAGCACTGAATGTCTTAGTGAACTCTGCCACTCAATGATTTAAGAAATCAATGTCACTTCAAAATATTACCACTGCCCCCCCCCTTTTTTTTTTACAAATGCCTTGCTTTATAGTTCTCCTTGGAAATACTGCTTGATAAATCAGATTGTCTCACTATTAGGTCTCTGTGTTCCTTAAATATGAGAATTCATTTAGATTAAGATGAACACAAGCCTGATTTTTAATTAATTCCAGTGCCACATTCAGGTACTGAAGTGTTTATTTCATATACTGATACAATAGTATGTGGCCTCAAAGAGTTAATACATTTTTTCAAAGTTAGAATATGGAGGATGTACAGTATTTTCCAAGCTTATTAAAAAAGCAAGTTCATTAACTATGTGCTTTTAAGAATAGTTTTTTACATAGATAAAATTATTGGACAGCTTCTTTTTCTTTCTTTATGGACTATTTAAAATATAACTGAAGATCCCTATGTTTATTTATTGTATGTGATTTATGATTTTTTAATTGACATATAGTTGATTTACAACATTGCATTAGTTTCTGGTGTACAATAAAGTGATTCATTTATATATATATATATATTCTTTTCCATGTTCTTTTCCAATATAGTTTATTATAAGATACTGACAACAGTTCCCTGTGCTCTACAGTAGGAACTTGTTGTTTATCTATTTTATACATGGTGATTCATGACTGTTTAACGCTTTGGTCTATATGTTTTGCCTCTAACAGCCCAACCTCAGATAGCATTGTTGTTTCAAAGGCAGCCATCAGTCTTGATGCTGTATAAACACATTCAAGGAAAGCTAAGGTGGGCTTGCAAATTAACACTCTTAAATGTTCATTTGAGATGTGATCATTTCATATGTGTGTTTGTATTTTTTTGTATGCAACCATTACTTTCTTTATTTTATACATATTAAATTTCTGGCCTTTATCATCTCCCTCATGTTTCTTCTGAAAATGGTTTATTCCATCAAATGTTCCTTCAAGAGCATCTTTTGTCAATGATGCACTCTAGCCAATACTCTGTGAACATGTATTTCTGCTTCAGAGGGCTTCCCACCCAGGAAAGACATCTTTCTCTACTTAAGATAATATTCATTGGCATTCTAATCCACAAATATCTTCAAATCAGATGCTTATGAATTGAGCCAAGACACCTAAGGGTTAGAAAGAGACCTAAGAAACTGAAGGATAGCCAGCTAATTAAATCTTGTTTTAACCCTTAGATTTTTCCACACTTACTAATCAGCGTCAGTTTAAATAAATTCAACGGCAAAATGGTATATAAAGAAGCAACTTTTATGTCCTTCTCCAGAGTTCTTTCAAAGTCTGTCTTTTTAGTTTTAAAAATATATACATAGTAAAGAAACAGCAGCAGCAGCTCAAACCAGAAAAAAAAATCATGGAAAAGAAATAATGAGATACAGCAAAAGAATTCCAAATCACTACCAGCTGCTGAACAATTAGCCTCAACTGCTAACAGGTGTGTAGAAAAGCCCATGTACAAAGTTACCTTTTGTCACTGTGCCTTCCAAAAGGGCTTTTGGTTGTAAAACTCCCAGAGTATTTGCACTATTTAGAGGAAATGCTGTGTGTGTGT